GTACTTTATGTTTGCGGTAGTTGATGTAATGTTCAAAAGCCAGCAGAAACTCCTCTTGGCAGCGTTCGATCCGCTCCACGCAACTCAGGCCTGGGCGATCTGAGGAGAGAAACCAGGGATTGAACAGTTTGTAGAGTTTTACTGTCAAACAGGGAACAATGGAAAGTTTATTTGTAGTACATGCCAGTTTGTGCTTTTCTTTTGATTTGAAAAATATGATGATCAAATTATATCGGGGTGGGCCAGTGGTTAGTTGGTTAGTGCGTCAACCTCACAGAGATACTGGGTTCATTTCCAGCTCCGGCCTTCCTGTGTGGAGTTTGCATGCTCTCCCCATGTCTGTGTGGGTTTTCTCCGGGTACTCGGTTTTCCTATGATCAAATTATATCGGGGTGGGCCAGTGGTTAGTTGGTTAGTGCGTCAACCTCACAGAGATACTGGGTTCATTTCCAGCTCCGGCCTTCCTGTGTGGAGTTTGCATGCTCTCCCCATGTCTGTGTGGGTTTTCTCCGGGTACTCGGTTTTCCTCCCACATTCCAAAAACATGCATGGCAGGCTGATTGAACACTCAAAATTGTCTGTAGGTGTGAATGTGAGCGCGGATGTTTGTTCGTCTGTGTGTGCCTGCGATTGGCTGGAAACCGGTTCAGGGTGTCCCCCCGCCTACTGCTCGAAGACAGCTGGGATGGGCTCTAGCACCCCCCGCGAACCTTGTGAGGATAAGCGGATCGGGAAATGGATGGATGGATGGAAATTATATCGATTATCAGTCAGAAAAATGCAGAGTGCCATCTCAGGTCAAGAATGAGATGTGCCCCAAGTGGAGGAATTCTACTTGAATTCCTCCTCGTGGTACCTCTACTGACGAAATGAGTATGTTCTGGAAGAGATTTCTTCATTAGAAAATGTTGTAAGTAGAGACACGTTTTCCATGTAAATGCCCTAATCCGTTCCAAGCCCCCCTCCATTAGATTATTGCACGATAAATGAGAGTTGTGCGTAACGTAAAAAACAAATAATAGAATAAACAGTAAAAATGATGGTCATTTAACTTTTAACTGCGTCCTCATCGTTTTTCGCCCACTTGAGTTCTCTCTCAGAAGTGGTTTTTGCCTTGCGTTTTGGAAAGAACTGATATCCAAAGACGTTTGCTTTATTTGGCTTTTTACAATCCTTCGAAAATGTCCAAGGCAAACATCAACATAGTGAGTGACCGCCGCACTGGTGAACACTTTTTCTGGGTGATTCACATTTACATAAAACGATCGGAACGCCCCCTGGCCAGAGTGGCGAATGACGAGGACGCTGCATCAACACAGATCTATGTACAGTATTTATCTATCTACACACACACAGACACATACGGTCAAAGTCCCTCTTTGCCAATGGGATGCCAGGATGATGGTCGGTAATAGCCAATGGCAGAGCAGCTATAAGTATGTTGCGTTCAGGAAACTCGGAGCTGTGAGTATTGGCCCATACTTTCGTATCTTAAAATTTCTTTTGTAACAGGCAATATTTTCCTGATGAGGCATTTCATAATTTGAAAATTTCGTATGAAGAGACGTTCATAAGTAGAGGTACCACTGTATCTTGTAGTCTTATTCACAACTGGGGGAAGTGTGGAACCAGAGAGCGATCGTGTTTCGGGCTACTGCAGTGCCATTTTACATGGCCACGTTGCATGAACTAATGAAACTTGCTCAAGAGAGGCAAACGTTGTTCTATGGAAACCAGAGCAGAATAATGTTTTATTGTACATTTCATTTTGTTTCGGAAATGTCGAATGCAAAATGACTAATCACATTTGTATTTGGGGGATTCTTAGGCGAGTTATGCTCTGCAAGTTTTCAGACATCGGTCGCTTACCCGCTGAAAGCAGAATAACTGCTTGTAAAAGAGCCACCTCAGAGTCGTCCAAGTTAAAGGAGGAGAGTGAGACACCAAGGTCAAAAATGGCGTCCGACACTACACCCAGGCCTCCATTCTTCAGTTGACCTCGTGTGACGGCCATGTCTCCATTAAGTGTGAGAGTCTCACTCTCTGGATCATAGCGAACAGCAGCACGCAACGACATGACTTCCATACAACAGCCTTTCAGCAAAATGATCTGGTCTTCACATGGCAACTGTGAACAAGAAGAGAGAAAATGATCTTGTCATCATTGATGACTTATTTGTTTAAAAAAAGTTGCAGAAGTGCACACACCCGAAAACAAATATTTTCTTTTTGCTTTAAATACATTTGGTCAGCGTTCTGTAACTTCACTAGTCATTGTCAAATCTTAGCGTTCTGTCACTTCACTAGTCATTGTCAAATCTCGGTCAAATTCTAAAGACAGTATTGAATTATCAGGTTTTTTTTTTTTTTTTTTTTTACTCGTCAAATTTATTTTAATTTAATATTTCAATGAATTTAATTTTATATTAAAACTTTTTCTGAACTTTTATAAGAGGTCAACATAACAATGAAAAAGTCAAATTAACCGGTCAATATAAAGATTAAATAAACACATTTTAAAAAATTATGTGCTGAATAGAGCTGGGTGAATCACGATGTGCCGTATGTATTTGATATCAGTCTATCAATAACTGGTGCTTTTCTTAAAGCATTTAAAATAAGAAAGAAATTGATTGAAGAGAATAAAAAGCATTTCAATTGATGAAACACAAAATTAAACAATACACATCTAGGGGAAAATTAGCTTTCAAAATATGTGCTTGGGAAGCAAATTTTCATGAAACGTACACTGTTTGTGTGTGTGTGTGTGTGTGTGTGTGTGTGTGTGTGTGTGTGTGTGCGCGCGCGTACAAATTGTGTTCATTATAAAAATGGATGCTGATTGTTGAGAATGTGACTCCAAGTTTTTGTTTGGCAGACTCCCTGTGATAGCCTTGGCCACCAAATAGCCCAAATTAAATCGCGATATTTACAATTATAAATGTGGACTTTTGCCATCACAAAATGAATCGTTGAATATTTCAAGGAAAAAAAAAGACTGCCTTTACTTGAGATTTTCTCGAAACATGGATTGATGTTAAGTGAAATCCAGAAAGACTTTCTTATTTAACTATTAACAAGTAGCCCATTAACTTAAGTTCAAATGTAGTAAACGACTCATTATTAAAATAGTTCCGGAAAGTCAAAAAGGTTGGCTTCATTTTACTTTTAATCAAAACGAACTTTATCCTTAAATGTCACTGCTAAAAATTTGGAATTAAGTGGGAAAACCGGGTGTCATTTTTATGTTGAGCAGGGTTGTCGGTGTACAGATAAGAAACATCGATAACACTTAGAAGCAAACTAATTAATTTTCATAGTCAGAAAATTTGACTGATTCGGTAGCGGCACGTACCTCACAAAACATGGGCAGCTTTTTGGCAAAGTCCACCACTCGTTTTATGGCAGGGGTGATAATTTTTGTAAATTGCCTGAATGCCTCTAAATCCACTTGATTCCCTTCCAGGATATTTGCCGTGGATGAATGACCACTATTGGCAGGCTGAAAAGACCAGAAGGACATTTTAGTGCACACAAACAGCAGATTTTTGTCATGATCCTGTTCTTGTGTGTCTCCAGCAGGTGGCAGAGGAGGGCTTTCCCTCCGGCGTGCACACCTGCTGCCAATTTGTTCATCAGGTTAAGCAATGTTCCCAAGCGCCAAGTCTGCATCAGATTATTGACATTGTTGCTGCAGTTCCTCAAGTGTTTTTTTTTTTTTTTTTTAGACCTCTCATTCTCGTCGTTTTTGTTCTGGAGTCTTAATAAGATTTTGGTCTCTTTATAAACACATTGGCTGAACCCCGATGGGAGGAAAAAAGACGTGGACAAGACAGCTATTGTTTGTAGAAAAATATGCATTTTTTTATAGAATAAGAAGAGAGACATACAGATTAATGGAGAGAGCGTGTCCGTCCGACCTCGAGCGTCGTGTCGTCTCAACTCTACTCGCTGAGCTGTTGTCGTGGCTAGGCTATCTTAGCTGTTGTCATTGATCAAAGCTCTTTGATGTGTAACGTCCGTTGCGTCAGCACTGACTGGTTGAAACCAAAAGACATGCGTGCGTACACGTCCGCGCTGATGCACGCACAGCAGAGAGCAGCGGACTATCGACTGCTGAGTCGCGCTTCACTCGAGTGACGTCGCTACAGTTTCTCGCCTTGTAAGTATTTGTTATTTTGTCTTTGATCTTGCTCATGTTTTTGTTTCGGATTGACTATTTCCTTACCTTTGCATGCGCTTTTGGTTAATGTATTGTTTTTCTGGTTCTTTTTGACGAGCGATTTGTGTTTATACTCTGTCGGTACGCTTTTTGTAATTGAATATATTATTAAAAAAATATATATTAAAA